TTTTGTTATAATAAAATTAATTTTTTTTATTAAAAAATTTTTTATTGTATAATAAAAAGTGTCCACAATAATATGGGCACCCTCTGTAAAATGAAATCTCTAATTAAAGTCTATTCAAATTTAAGAATCTTATTTATTTTTCAATTATATAAAAAAAGATTTATGACAATTCTTTTTTTTTTACAATTATTTAATTGGATTTTATTAAAACATCAAAACAAAAATCAAACTTATTGAAATTAATTTTTTACTATAATAAAAACAATAAACAATATTAACTATATTCTACTATTTATATAAACAAAGATTATATTAATAAATAGCAAAAAATCAAAAAAATAATATTTGTTAGTCTGAAGATTTTCTTGTAAATATTACTTTTATTTTTATAAATTTTATAATTTATTTGACTTTGTTTTAATTTATATAGTCCTTGTTTTTTTTACTTTTTATTTTTTTTCTCATATCTTATCAAATTTTCCAAGTAGATATAGTCACTATTAAATGTTTTAAATTTTATTTTCTGTAGGCAAGCTAGCATTTAACTTACTGCTTTTTGCATATAAGAGATGTTGTTTTTTCATGATATACTGTATATCTTATATTATACAAAGCAAATAAAAAATAATGTTTACCTACTAGAAAAAAAATATATTTACTTAAAAATTATTTTATAATTACTCTATAAGTCATGAATTTTCTTTTATTATCCCTATAATTCCTCGCACTTTGTAAACCCATTTAGATTACGTATCTTATAAATTGAATCCGTACTACTTAAACCTTTATATTTTATAGATCATAACCGCTTACATGATTATACATCGTAGATCGTTTGCACTAGAAATTCTAACTTATTCCGTTTTTCGTTGTAAATTTATTATTTTTCATAAATCTATGCTATATACATAAATCCATAAACTCACTCCATATAACAACTTACCTTTCTGTAGATCTTGCAAATCCACCTACTCCATGCTTTACGTTCCGTAAGATCTCCCGTACGTTCCTAACTATCCGGTCTGCAACCTTTAGTATGTCTCGCAGACTTTCACGCTTTATAAAAAATGAAATACGTAAAAAATCATTTTATACTTATGTAGATATACATCATTTAGTATCTTCATGGAGTATATTTTTATATTACGTAATATTTGGAAGCCCCTTATTTACATTGGCTAACCGGTAAAATTTGTTCCAGCCATGTGCATTGAAAATCGATTCTTATTTCGATTTACAAATGCTTTTTATTTTCCCTGCTAAACTTGGCAGTGTAATGACGCATTATACTTGAACACCGCCTTGTCCGGGCTTTGGGATAATTTGAGAAATATTTGTTTTACCGACTTTCCGCGGTCATTCTTGCGGAATGATGAATCATGTGAGGCAGTGTTTAACTGGAAAATGTATTACTGTATGTGTATTCAATGAACAGAATAAAGGAAAAAATATCAAGCCTACACATGTAACCTCAGTCCAAATGTGTCGTTAGTAAGATGCAAACTGTCATTCCATTGTACAATATTTCTGTGTGTACGTCACCTTCAAAAAAAAAAGGATCGATATAAAAGTAGGTCAAATTTATGCTATTTCGATCTTGAATCTAACATGGCCACCACTGAAGTATCATCACAACCTTTGCTACCAACAGAGGAAAAAAGGTCATTGATTCATACATCATCTAATCCTAATGATTCTACCATCACCATTTCATTGGAACCAGAGATAGTAAAAAATAAGACGGAACAATATAAGTTTCTTTATTTTAAAATTTCAAAAGTAAAAACTCCTTCCACTATAAGTCTTCTTCCATGTATATTATTACTTTTCGTTTTCGCAATGTTTTCACTTGGTGGTGTGGTAGCTTTAGTAAGGACAATACCGGACTTGTTTCTACCAACCACGTTAGAGGCAGTTAAAAGACAGGCAATAATGCTGAAAGATTATTCCAATGGATCGTGGAAAGGTTATTTTCATGTGATTGGTGTTTTATCAGCCATTTATATCTGGAAACAAACTTTCTCGGTGCCCGGAGCAATTTTCCTGGTAGTTATCTTGTCCCTAATATCAATCCATAATCCTGTTTAGAATGTTTATATTAATTTAAATTTTTATTTAGAATTTACTAGCTGGAGCTTTGTATGGACCTCTTGAAGCTACAATATTAACTTCAACATTAACTTCGGTTGGCGCATCATTTGCATACTACTTAGGTAAATACGCCGGAAAACCATTGATGGATCAATATTTCTCGGAAAAATTGAATTATCTTCGTAGACAAATCGACGAGAACAGGGACAATTTATTCTTTTATCTTTTATTCATTAGAATGTTTCCTTTGTCGCCTTGGTGGTGAGTGTTTATCTATAAATGATTAGAAAAAGTTAAATGAAAATGACCTTCGTTGGTTCTAATTTTCTAGGATACTCAACCTGTCATCGCCGTTACTGTTAATTCCGATTGATTCCTTCTTTACGTCAATGTTTTTTGGATCAATCCCTTATAATCTTGCATGTTCTCAGGCCGGTAATCTCCTTTCAGAGCTTCAATCAACTACGGATATATGGCGACCAACCTTATTATTAAAAATGTTTTTCATATCGTTGTTGAGTCTTATACCCCCTCTAGTAAGCAAGATACTTAAAAAACGAACATCATCAAAACCTGTCTAAGTTAAAATCGTGGGATTATATATTGGATGCAACTTGTATATTAGTGTATTGTATTTTTTATCATGTACAAATAAGGGTCCCAAGATTACGATAGAACTTTATAATTCAATAAGTCGAAAAAAAAACCTGTTTATTCATTATATATAGGCCATATAATTTGTAATCACTTTGTTAAATCTATAACAAAAACTCTAATTAAATATTGAATTTTGTTAGCAAAAGTTACTAACAAGCTATCGTTTTTTATTCGATTCTTTTCTGAATGATTGTCGAATTGTAAATATTATGAAAATTAAATTTGAACTTAAAAGAAGATTTAAAATTTGATATTATTTAATATATTATTTAATTGATATTACAAATTAAAATTTTTATAATTTTAATATCAGTAAATTAAATTGGCAGAAATTTTCAAAGATCTTCCTGACAAAAATTTCTGAAGATCTCGAAAGTGGAGTTTTTATATATAAACTTCAAAAAACTTCATTTTTTTTGAAGATTTTTAGAGATTATTAAAAGTTTACAGAAGTTTACAAAGTATTGCAAAGGTTTATGAAAATTTGCAAAGATTATATATTATTATAAAAATATGTTTTAATACTATTAAAATGTATTTCAATACAATAAATAATTTATATAATTTTAAACATTTGTATAATTTTATTGTTTTTTTATAATACAGTAAATAAAAAAGTTAAAAATTAATTATTTTTTAATTTTTGCTTTAAATATATTAAATATTATTAAAAAAGTTTAAAAATTTTTTTAAAAAATAATTACTATATTATTTATACTTATATTTAAAAATTTTCAAAAAAGTTTGTTTTTTGTCAAATTCTTTTTTTACTTTTTATTAAAACTATTATTATAATTATATTTAAATATAATTATAAGCTAGCAAATGGTTTTAATATTAATAAATATAATATAACTTAGTTTTTTTAAAGTTTTTCAAATATTTTTATTAGGTTCTATCTTTTTTTTTTAAAAAAAAAACCTATAATTATATATTAAATTTATTATATTTTTTCTTTTTATTTAAACATTTATAAAAATAATTAAAGAAATTAAAAATTTTATATAAAATAACCTTTTAAAAAAATCATTATAGTTACAATTTTCTTTATAATCTTTTATTGCTTTTTACAAAATAACAAAATATTTTATAAAGACCTATCACTAGTCCAAATTGGGTTATTCGGCTGTCGAATTACAGCCGATTAAATCCAAATTTATTAATAAAAGTTTATACC